TGTGTGTGTGTGTGTGTGTGTGTGTGTGTGTGTGTGTGTGTGTGTGTGTGTGTGTGTGTGTCTGTAACCATCCTGCCTCAGTCCAATCTGTTCAAACACACACTGCAGTCAGGAGAGCGCACAGACACAAAGCAGCCTCCTGTTCAGTACCTGAGGGTCAGAACAAAGCCAGCCTTTATGTCCAGCCTGGTTCCCCCTTTAACCAACCCACCTCTCTCTCTTCCCTCCGTTCCCTCTCCCTCAAAAAATTTATCTGCATAACTTTTGATGATTTTCTCTCATTTACTTTTTTCTAACTCTATAGGGTCCAGTTGGAGCTTCGGGACCTAAAGGAGACATGGTAGGTCAAAGGTCAAGCTCAGCAAGCCTAAAAACTTTTGATCTTCTCTTCCAATTATCAAAAAAAAAAAAGATTGTATTTTTCTTCGGAAATGATGAAGATTATGTGTTGATAAAATTAAACTAACTTTGGCTAATGTGGTCTTGTGTTCAGGGTGTGGCAGGAAGTGATGGTTTACCAGGAGAGAACGGAGAGGCTGTGAGTATCTAAAATTAAATGTAAATCGCTTTATTTTAAGTTATTTAACCACATTTTGAATTAAAATTTATTTCATAAAGAGACTATGCATATTAATTAACATGAATACATCAGGTAAATATAACAGATTTAACAAAAAAAAGGCTAATTTTCATGGTCCCCTAGCAGGTTGATAGAAGGATTTTTATTGTTTATATTTGTACAATAAAGTTAAGTTTTCCCATTATACTTTAAGCTTCCTGTTTTTTGACTGCAAAGCCAAAGTAGTGTTTGTCTAAAAAAATGTCCTTATTTTTAGGGTCCATTTGGACCAGTTGGACAAAAAGGAGAGGTAAGTCATTTATTCATTCCTTACTGTTAATCTTACAGTTTCTCATCTCACCCTTCAAACAGGCTTTCCAAAATCAGTTTTTAGTTATCCAGAGATCAGATGCTGTGTGTGGGTGTAATTAGCAGGCTATTCGCTCCAAACTCCTCCTGTGTCTACTCCCTCTCTAAGCTTGAAAAAGTGATGCCTCGCTCCAAGCTGTTGCCCGCCTGTCAGAGCCGCCACGCGTGTGCGTTCGGCTTCAACTTTAACTGGATTATTTACAGACTGAAAGTGCGGCACCAGCTTTAATGGCCTGGTTTGCTGCTCTTGCCACAAGGGAAAGACAAGTCGCACTAAGCTGCAGCATAATTTGTGTAATTAGAGGCACAGCACTGATGAACCTCACACTTACTTTCATTTACTGTTTGCTGTGCTCATTGGAGTCATTATCGTGCAACGAGTCTCCGTATGAATCCGCCTCCGCATTGCCTTTAACAGAACTAGTTTGTTCTTCAGTTGGGTGTTTAATCTGGGGGATGTTTTTAGAAGTTTAAAGGAACATGATTTGTTCTTGTAAAAATATCCAGAGGTCTTCAACTGATCATTACTGTGGATTTGTAGCCAGGGAAGCAGGGGGAGCTGGGGCCAAAGGGTGTGACGGGCCCACAAGGTGAACTCGGGCCAAGAGGGGGTCCAGGGAAACAGGGACCAATGGGCTTCCAAGGGGAACAGGGTCTGCCAGGAATTGCAGGAAAGACAGGAGTACCTGTGAGTATTTCTACTTTTGAATCTCTACAGAACTGTGTGTAGGAGTTTATATTATTATTTTATGCATATCCTGAATGAGGTCTTATGTTTCAGGGTAAATTGGCGAGTGAACAGCACATCAGAGAGTTGTGTGGTTCAATGATCGATGGTGAGAGATCTTTATTTGGTCACCAACTAAGATCTGCTGTGGTGATGAACGAATGTAACATTGAGGGGTAAACTTTGAGTGTGTTTTTGTTTTCTTTATTCCGTTCTACAGACCAGATCGCACAGCTGGCTGCAAACCTTAGAAGGCCTCTGGCACCTGGAATGGTGGGCCGCCCCGGCCCTGCAGGGCCTCCAGGACAGCCAGGAGTTGCAGGTTCTATTGGACATCCAGGCACTCGAGGACCACCAGGGTACAGGGGCCTCCCAGGAGAGCTGGGAGATCCTGGTCCCAGAGGTATGAAAATAATCACAGCATAAATTTTCCTCTTTTTTAATTCTTTTTTCTTTAATTATCTGAGTCACAAACGAGCTTGTTTTACCTTTTTTTCCCCCCATAAGGAATTAAAACGACAAATATAATCATGTTTAAATGTTCCAGTTTAAGTAAACATGATGTATGTGTAAATTTGGAAATTTCATGGCGTTTTGTAAAAATATTTAACATATAGACCACTCTCAGCTTTGGTTGCTGGTAAAATCAGCCATAAAGGACAGATTGAGATGTGAAAAAGGTTTTTAAAAAAATAATAAGAGCCACCTGGGACACGACAACTGTTTTTTCATAAATAGTAAAAAGACATATACACTCACCGGCCACTTTATTAGGTACACCACGCTAGTAACGGGTTGGACCCCCTTTTGCCTTCAGAACTGCCTCAATTCTTCGTGGCATAGATTCAACAAGGTGCTGGAAGCATTCCTCAGAGATTTTGGTCCATATTGACATGATGGCATCACACAGTTGCCGCAGATTTGTCGGCTGCACATCCATGATGCGAATCTCCCGTTCCACCACATCCCAAAGATGCTCTATTGGATTGAGATCTGGTGACTGTGGAGGCCATTTGAGTACAGTGAACTCATTGTCATGTTCAAGAAACCAGTCTGAGATGATTCCAGCTTTATGACATGGCGCATTATCCTGCTGAAAGTAGCCATCAGATGTTGGGTACATTGTGGTCATAAAGGGATGGACATGGTCAGCAACAATACTCAGGTAGGCTGTGGCGTTGCAACGATGCTCAATTGGTACCAAGGGGCCCAAAGAGTGCCAAGAAAAGATTCCCCACACCATGACACCACCACCACCAGCCTGAACCATTGATACAAGGCAGGATGGATCCATGCTTTCATGTTGTTGACGCCAAATTCTGACCCTACCATCCGAATGTCGCAGCAGAAATCGAGACTCATCAGACCAGGCAACGTTTTRCCAATCTTCTCTTGTCCAATTTCGATGAGCTTGTGCAAATTGTAGCCTCAGTTTCCTGTTCTTAGCTGYAAGGAGTGGCACCCGGTGTGGTCTTCTGCTGCTGAAGCCCATCTGCCTCAAAGTTCAACGTACTGTGCGTTCAGAGACGCTCTTCTGCCTACCTTGGTTGTAACGGGTGGTTATTTGAGTCACTGTTGCCTTTCTATCAGCTCGAACCAGTCTGCCCATTCTCCTCTGACCTCTGGCATCAACAAGGCATTTCCGCCCACAGGACTGCCGCTCACTGGATGTTTTTTCTTTTTCGGACCATTCTCTGTAAACCCTAGAGATGGTTGTGCGTGAAAATCCCAGTAGATCAGCAGTTTCTGAAATACTCAGACCAGCCCTTCTGGCACCAACAACCATGCCATGTTCAAAGGCATTCAAATCACCTTTCTTCCCCATACTGATGCTCAGTTTGACCTGCAGGAGATTGTCTTGACCATGTCTACATGCCTAAATGCACTGAGTTGCCGCCATGTGATTGGCTGATTAGAAATTAAGTGTTAACGAGCAGTTGGACAGGTGTACCTAATAAAGTGGCCGGTGAGTGTATATTGAGGATACTGTAGATTTAATAAATGCATGAATTGTTTAGCCTGGCCTTGCTTTCCTACACAGTTCCGCTCAATTCTAGTTTTCCTTCTCTGCTCCATCTGGGACTTCTCCACTAGACAAGGATTTCTTCAGTAGAGTTTTGTTCGGGCCAATCAGTGAACAGAAGGCAGGGTTTTGAACGACGTCGATTTTCTGTGCAGTGTCTGCTTGTGAGTTCATTTTACCTGGGCCAATCAACAAACAGAAGGCGGAGTTTTGAACGATATCGATTTTCTGCACCGTGTCTGCTAGTTAGTTTAGCATACGTCAACGGAGGAAGTGAATGAAGCCAGTCTGTGTTGATAAGGCTTCCAAATTAAATTAAATTTGTCTGACAAAGCCTGCAGCTCTCATTTACAGTCATCTCGTTCGGCTCGGTACTTCTCTCCTCTCGGGATGTTTACAGCGCACGTAATTTCCTGTTAGCTTCTTAGCTTAGCCTCCTTCACAGTGGAGCTGGCACACATACGTCGCGGCCAACTGATCCAATCATTTTCAACTTCAGCAGAGGCCACGCCTCCAGCAAGAATCACTTCTCTATAGCCGAGAGTCCAGACCCTCTGTATGAAGCAAAGTGAAGGACAAGGGTCTGGTTTTTTACCAGGCTATGAATTGTTTAAAGTTATATCAAATAGAAAAGTTAAGATTTTATCAAAAGATTGCACAGAGAAATGTTTTTTTCTTCTGTTTTTCTAACAGGTGATGTTGGTGAGCCTGGTGACAAGGGACCCATTGGCAAAGCCATTGATGGACCCACTGGAGACCAAGGACACCAAGGTATGTGGCAGGTCTACTTACGGTGCTGTTTCTGATAACTACCTTCCCACTACCTACAATATTTCCCTCTTAGGTCTGCCCGGAGTCGCTGGAATTGCCAAAGATGGTCGTGACGGATCTCCCGGAGATCCGGGTGAGCCTGGAGAGCCAGGAAGGGTAGGTAGGACTGGGCACCATGGACCTCCTGGGATCTGTGATACATCAGCCTGCCAGGGAGCGTCAGTCGCTGGCAAATCCTCCAACCCCAAAAATTTTTAAAGACAACTTCCTGAAACCTGATGGCTCCACTTCAATGGAAAGGAGGGAACAAAAGAAGACAACGATCACAATAAATCCCTCTTTATTTTTTAAAAAAAGGATGGGAAGAATAACATCAGCAGGTGTAATACTTTGAAATGAATGGAGGAATGTCCCAGGAAGTGACATGAACATCAGAGCAACAAAGAGACAAATAAAAACAGGTAATATACAGAAATGGTGTGGAGTGAGGGATGGAAGAGTGCACGAAAACGACTGCATCAATCCAAACATCAGCAAATAACAACTGGAATGAGACACAGGTCTTTTGTGTATAAAAAACTTTGTATGTTTCCTTGCCACATTTACTTTGGTTAACATCACCATGGCAAACAACATTCTAAAAACAACTGTGACTGTCTGCAATGTGAATATGCATTTATCATGGCCCGTTGTGTCGTTCACAGGTGTTAACCTCAACATACAAACTTAGTGTAAATTATGGAAATAAGTGCTGCCTCTGTCAAGGAGCTGTGTATGTACTGTAAAATTAATAAAACACAAATACCCAGGTGCCCAAAAATTGTGTACACTAATGCGAAACAAAACTCAGTAGCCCTTTTTTACAGCATTTTTTTGTTTTTGAACTTTTGAAGTGAATTTGCCAGAGCTGACAATCACAAATAGAAAAATAATTGTGGATGCATAAATTTGACATAAAAAAATACATAAATATTAAGAAACGTGAGAGTTTTAGAATTCTGTTTTTTTTCCATTGACCACATCCACTATGTACTACAGGTGCTGTAACAATTAAATATTCAAAAGTTTAAATACTATTTATTATTTGTGGGTGACTATTTTGTGTACAGTAAGATGCTGCAGCGACATGTTGTAACAAATAAAGCCACTTTTCATAAACATTACTCTTCTCTACATATGAAATGAACCCTGCACTTCAAAACAGCAACATGCTTTGAACACTGTCAAATTAAAAATTCAAGTTCTGTAAACAGCACAACTTATTTCTGTAATAAAATGTATAAATATATTAATAGAGAATAAATACAAGAGTAGTGAGGTAAGAAATATTTAGTAAGAAACCATTTTCAAAAAAGAATGTAATTGACAAGTAGGGTAATTCTGGTGGAACAAGTGTCCTGTCAGTGTAAATACAAATGACACCCAGTGGAATTCAGATGAAACTGCAGAAAACCCACTGTGTTTAATAAGTCAGGTGCTGAAAACGTTTTCCATGTTTAGAGTGTAAAGTAGTCAAAGTGACATGTTTAGGTATTTGAAACATCCTACCTTCTCCACTTAGCCCCACAGATTCAAACCGGATTAAAACCATATCAGTTGCTTCATTAAATGAGAAGGAATTATTGTTCGGCTGCAAGGGGAACGCTCGCTGTCTCATCTCTCTTGTGGTGAACCGAAGAGGAGCTGGCTTTGAGTAACGTTTCTCCCTTTTGAGTGAAAAACTTCTCAAACTCCTGGAAAGGAAGAAACACCGATGACAGATACAACCAGAGCTGTTTTACAGCATTACAGCGAAATCAAGCCAACTTTACACATGTAACAAAGTCTGCAGATGTACTTCATTTAAATGTTGTTCAGGTCAGACAAAAAGTTTGATTGAGCCAGTATTAGAAAGGTTTACCTCTTTGATGGTGTCTCCATACTTTAAACTGATGTATTTCGTGTAGGTCACGGTCCACTGCAGGGTGGTGACTTTGTCTGTATCAAGGTTGCAGAACGGCACCAGCATGTTCAGCTCATCACAGCAGGTGCGGATCTTCTTCCTGTACCACATTATACACGTAAACACAAAATACAAGAAATTTTAAGCAGCATTTTGGAACTACATCTTTTTAGACTTTAAAGGGCTCTGTCTCATTACTCATGATAAATATATTTGTCTATTCCTAGCACAAAAAGTAAGGAAATTTGTGTTTGGTAGATAATTTCTTCGTTGTAACAATGCTTCTTGGCAATGAATCTAATACCAATGGGAAGCCTGTTAATTTCCCTTTTAAATGGTGCCATATTTGTTAGGATCATGCAATAGTGGGATGAGCAGTAGATCTGAGTATGTGAGCTGAACACATGAAAACTAAATTACTATTTAGGATATCTAATCAATCTAATTGTTAGCATTACAGTTGGTTTAAGTTGTCTAAAATGACACAGTATCACGGTATCTTCTTTTCTATCTTCAAACCATGAAGCCTACTAATAAATACAGTTCAACAAAGAATGCCGCCTTTAGTTGTTATGAAACTGCAGTATATATCAAAAATGAATTTGACTGCATCTAAATGTCTTAAAATTGGCTTCTGTCTCTTTAAGAACCTCCTGACGTTTCTGACACTCCCACTTCAGCACGTCTTCACAGCAATGCTTCATGCCATTTACAACGTTTTATAGGCCAAAGTCCAACTATGTTTGACAAACCAACTCCTTAGAAATCATAAAAAGAGGATAGTTTCCTCCTTGGCATCCAAAAATACATTTTCTTGATGAAGGCATTTGAGCCCCGTCTTCACCGGCGTGCCTGTATTCAGCTCTTCTCAGTTCAGCCTCGGCCACACATGTCTCCATGTACTGTTTTAACCACCCGGGCAGTGGTTCTAAGCAGGGCTGGGCGATAAATCGATTTAATCGATTTATTCGAATTTGCCATTTATACAGATAGAATTTTGGGAAAATCAAGATTTTTTTTCTTACCAGTGCACTCTTTGGGGCTTCTGTAGTTCAGAGGTCACCTACATGTCCCTCAAGATGCCTGGTACATGACATGACAATATGGCAGCTAGCAAAGAGGATCTACTTCTCAAAAAAGGCACGGTTTCTTCAGTTTTCTGGAACTGGTTAGGTTTTACAACCTCGGACTTGGAGCAACGAACACCTCACTCACTGCAAAATCTGTTTGAAGGCTCTTGCATCAAAAAGCAACAAATTTGTTTCGACATCTGAAATAGAGGCACTCTGTTAATTGGGAAGCAAAATCATTTAAAATTGAAAATCGAATTTGGGTGAAAAAAATTGGAGATTCTTTTTGGGAGCCATATCGCCCTGCCCTAGTTATAAGCAGGTGACACCGAGTATTGCGTGCTTACAATTTTGACGTCAGCAGACTTCTGCCCGTGGACTGACTGAGGAAAGGCAGAACTTGCAAACTCCTGCAGCAAACCCATCCTGGAGAGAGGTAAAGGAGTCAAGCGCATGCAGCTTGAGCTGGACGCAGCTGCCTGAAATGAGCAGATATCCCTGGGGTTTTGGACCAACTGCCCACGGTTACACAAGCGCTTATAAAGTTTGTTGCAACAAAAAAATAAAATTAAAATAACCTCAGACTACTAGATAAAACCAAAATGCCTTTTTTATTCTTCTCATTTTCCTCTTTTACCACAATGGCTGAAGCTGAGTAATGTGACTTGATAGTGTGAAGCAGCTGCACAAAAATAAAAGAACATCTCACAAAAAACAAATTTCTGAATAAAAGTTCACTTTGTGAATTTATGATCTACTGATGTATTATGTAAAATATTTTAGTGATACAGAGAAAGCCCTTTACTCTGCTGCCACCATCGCTCATAACCTAAGACTATTTTAACTGATTGAATAAATTATAATTTTATTCATCCCAGAAGTGAAATTCAGTAATAATCAGAATCAAGCTTTATTGGCCAAGTAGCTCATGCATACAAGGGATTAGTTTTGATACAAATTTGTATATGATATCCTGGATTTACCTTTTTTTTTTGTTGTAGATTACTAAAGTAAAATAGCATTATAAATAGTAGCACTTGTTCAGTAAGACTAATTAGCTGTATTTATCTTTGTATTTTTTATCAAGCCTTTAAGCTTTCAGTCACTAATACAATATTTAAAATTTATGCTGAAATCCTTTTAGTTTTGGCTGTTTATTTTACTTGTAATTAAGCATGTCTCAACTTTTGCTATAGAGGTTAATTGCTTTTATTTATTTATTTATTTGTATATTTATTTATTTATTCATTCATTCATTCATTTTAAACTTGGGTTTTAGGTTTTGGCCTTATTTGAATTTGAAATTAATTTTATTGTTGAGTTATTGATCTTAACCTGTAAAGAACTTGTGTCAACAATGGTTGTTTTAAAAATGTGAAACAAACTTTGACTTGACTTGTTCTGGTTGATAAAAAAAATCACAAAGAAGCATTGATTCAACAGATGGACATAATTTGTGATGCAGAAAAAGCTCGCACTGATGCGAATTTGGACAGACTGGGTTGCGAGTCTAAAACCGCCTCACCTCTCCAGCCTTCAGCCAGAGACTAGTCTCCTGCTCCTTTTGGAGGATGGAAGATACGTCCTGTTTCAGTGGATTCTCTAGCAGGTACAGACATTTTAAAAGAGAAGACCCCAAAAAGTCCAGAAACTCTGGGGTCTTGGAAGACCCACACCATCATGAAATGGAGTGTGCCAACAGCACTTCTGAGAGCTTCAGCTCAGTTGACTCCAAGACTCCAGAGGAGTTAAGAGAAATCCCCCTCATCCACACTCCAAAGGTGTTCCTTCCTCAAACATCCACCATCCCAACCCCACCTCCTCAACCCACTGCTCCAAAGTCCAGGATGAGAAAGTCACTCATCCCTGTGATGATCAGGAGGATCCCTAAAAGACCAGGTAAGTCATTATGCAGTTCTCCTTAAAAACATCATTTACAAACAATTTAACAACAAATTTTCAGTGACCTTTAAGCACTTCATTAAAATTTAACAAGACTTGTATAAAAAAAAGAAGTCATGCAACAACATGTACAGTAGCTTCAAACCTGTCATAATAGTTTATTTTCTACTCATATGTGACCATGCAAATATTTAGTTCCAATTTGATGCACGTTTCTGTCCTGAAAAGTGAAAATGTCTGTTGATTTTGTTACTTTTTATTGTGTTTACTTTGTATTTCTACAGAAGAACATTGCATTCACCAAAGGAAAAAGAAAAGATTCCTTATCTCATAATTATGAGATCAGGATCTCGTAATTACAACAAAAGATGTCATCATTAGGAGGAAAGAAGTGAAAAGGAGTACTCCTTGAAGATCTGTGATGCAAGTAGATGAAACAATAGGAACTATTGTTTTGAGTTTATGTTCCACCTGGATGTGTGTGATACAGAATCCACGACTGCCTAGGCCGAGCTGTGTAAAATTTACCCACCAGAGTTTAATAAAGTTATGACCTGTAGGATATTTCCCAGTGTCTCATACCTACGAGGAAATAAAACATATCATTGTCCACTTTTCCTGTAGTGTAGGTCAGCGATGACTCTCCTTAACTTTTCTCATAATTATGAGATCAGGATCTTGTAATTATGACATCTTATGAGATCCGGATCGGATTATTACGAGATCAGGAGTCTACTTCATTTTTATTTTATTTATTGGTGAATGCAATGCTCTTCAAATATTTCTGTTGTTTTGTTGAAAATAGTAATATTCGAAACTCAATGCTGACAGAAAAAGAAGCGGTCGGTCTTCAAAGGGCTGAACCTCTGGGGGAACCACTAAGAAAAGGACCAAAACTTTTCAAACGAAGCTCAATTGCTCCTCAGCATCAACCTGCCACAGCTCCCAAAACGACATATCCATCCATCCATCCATTTTCTGTACACGCTTCTTCCTTTTCAGGGTCGCGTGGGTCACTGGTGCCCATATCCAGCAGTCACAGTGCGAGGGGCAGGGTACACCCTGGACAGGTCGCAAGTCCATCACAGCTCCCAAAACGACATGTATTCCTTCTTTAAAACCTGACCCACCCAAAATCAAAAGGTTTGATCCAAGAACAGCTGTGGGCTTCGAAAAGACTACGAAACAGCGGAAACCAGACTGCCGGACTTTGAAATCCCTGCCTAAAGAGGAGCGTAAGCCAC